TGCTGCCCGACAGCGCTGGGCTACACGTATCGCTGCATAGGTACCCCAGATTGGCCATGGCAGAGCAGTCTAGGGTGCACCGTGTACTTCTCTGATCCGACTTCGACCTTCACTTTTCCGGATGCGACGTTTATTACGGATGACGAAACCATGCAGACATCCACTGCTAGGACCGAAGTGGGAATCGGTGCGTATGGCATAGAGGTGCGCTTTCAGAGAGCGGACTTTGCCTCAACGACATCGACTGTAAGTATTAGGAAGATTTCATCTAGCATTTCTAAGGGGGCATGCCGTTGATACATTCTAGTCACAAGTTGCAACAACCACCTATTCTAGTGTGGCGGCAACAACAACAACATCATCATCCACTGAATCAAGTACAGGCGGCACGAGTGGTGGGACCAGCCATGGTCTCAGCGCAGGGGCCGGGGCAGGAATCGGCGTTGGTGCATTTGCCTTTATTGCGCTGCTAATTGGTTTTTGTATCTACTGTTTCCGGAGAAAGAACAAAGCGAAGAAGCTCGAACTGGACGGCGCTACTACTACTGGGTACCCCGACGCGACTAAGTTCACAGGTCCTCCCGTTTCATCAGTTCCTCCAGATTATAATAGATGGGAGTTGTACGGGACCAATGCACAAGATTCCCAACCCCAGGAGTTGCCTACGCAACACCGCGCTGAGCTGGGATAGTGCTTGGGTAGACACTTGCTAAGTACGGTGGACTACGAGATACCCTAGCCAAGCATTCTGGTGGAAATTCGCTGCCAACGCAATCGATGACCTTCCTAGGCAACCTCAGACGCAACCTCGACAAGTGCTGCAGGTCAGCTAGCGGGGATGCCGCTTTAGATGGCTGGTACTCGCCGTGCAGTCAGGCTGAAGGCAACTTGTCTAAATGATGACAGAAGTCTTGATTAAGTTTTGCATGTATTGTGTAGGCTAAAGTATCACTATGTCGAGCTCTTTATGTAAGACATTGATATAATAAAGCCTGACTTATTGTACTGCAAGACTCTGGGAGGCGAATCAAGTAGAGTTATTTATCTGATGTTCTTAGAATGTTAATAAGTCTCTGGAGAGTGAGAGTGATGTAAATAGTGAGGCTTCGTATCTGTGATCTTTTTAATAAATGTCACTAGTATCATACAGTTGTATTCGCAGAACTAGTCTTTAATCTGGCATTTGAAGTGTTTCATAATACAACCAATGTCGGCGGAGACCTTCTCAAGGCTTGTCCTCTGAAGGGCTGTAAATACAGCATCGCGAGCCCAGAAGAGTCTCATGGGGCTGTCTCATGGAGTGTCAACAGCTAGAATGGAGACTATCGATCTATCTAATAGGGTTGAAAGGTATTTATGGTCTAGACCTTGAATTCTGTTACATGATTGGAAGAACGGTATCTCTAGTACTTTGATGTGCTTGTCTATACCTCTCCACTTTCCCGTACTTTGTGCGGCTCAATTAGCAGCCTGTTGATCTATCACGTTTGTAATTGACATATAACACTGGGCGTAATATCATGATTTACCCAGTCATATCTAGTGTAGCTCGATCTCAGCGTCGCTTTCGAATTGGCTAACCTCAGCCACATATCGTAATTATCTATGTACTACCTGTGGCAGCAATGAAACTTACTATTTGAAACTCTATTTTCGATGAGACTATGTGGTCAGTTCCCAGCCCCCCCCCAAAAACAAAAAAAAAAAAAAAAAAAGAATTGGGTTGGATATTCCACCATAAACACGAATATGACGCTGTGACATCGTTGAATACTATCGCCATAAAGGTATACGCTATGATGAAGCTATCGTGGAAGCAAAAAGTCATGTTCTCATACTTAGTAGAAGTTGGCTATTTCTGATAGCTTTCAATTGTTCACTGTTGCCCATCCTGAATGTTTTAATTATACATCTCGCCTCATACTGTCACCACCAGACCATGACTCAGAAAAGCCGTCTACCATGTTGGACAGGCGTTGTAGGGGATACGAGACCGTTCTGCTCCCTCTCATCTACCGCAGAGTTCGTGCCTAGAGTAGACACGTATGGTGATGGTGGCGACCCGTCTACAGGTTCTCTTTCGCCAAAGGATGGCAAATCACCCACAGTCGAGATTTCGCGGTTCGGCTCTGCCGGTCTCTCGTTGCCTCCTGCAACTTCACTGCCAGGCAACTCATAGACTCCAGGATTCCGAGCGGTCGGGTGTGGTTCTTGGCTCAAGCCATTGACTTCCCTGCCGTCCAGTTCTGCATTCGGTCTTACATGGGTATCATGGCCGTCCAGCTCAGGGGTAGAACCCCCGCCAGCGCCCGCCGCGACTGCAAACGGTCTTGCAGGAGAGTCTGCTGTTGACCTTGAGTATTCCGCCGTTGACCTGGGAGCAGACACATCTGCTGCGGAGAATGGAGTCGAGTGGTCTGTTGAATGCGGATTGGAGTTGAAGACCGGGCCCTTGAGCACAGATTCGTCGGGCGCTGGTTTCGGCGCTGCCACTGCATACCCTCTCTTCATCCACTTTCTTCGCTTGCGGAGAATCACAAAGGCGGCTATGCCGGCGACAATAAGGACAGCTGCTATGCATCCCACGACGATACCGGCTATGGCGCCGCCACCCAGGTGTGCCCTTTTGGAAGAAGACGAGCCTCCGCCTCCGCCGCTGCCGCCATCTCCACCACCGCTGGTAGCCGAGTCCGAGTCTTTGGATAATATTGTGACAATGTTTTCGTCAGCACCCTCGTTCCATACACATGCAGAGACGTTAAACACCTTGCGCTCGTAGTCGGCAGTGAGATAACTATAAGGAATCAGTACCACTTCAAGTAAATGAGACTCTTAGAAAGTGGTAACCTACGCTTCTTGAAGAAATGTCCGCCCAAGAGTGTATTGTGTCGAGTCATTTGCGCGTTTGAGGGGGAAATAATGAGTACTGTTGTCGACAAGGGGATACTCTGCTGTGAGGCCGAATGCTGCGTACGGAAGAGTTATCGACACACTGTCTCCCCCTGCCTCCACATCCGATAATCTGAATGATACCTGTGCATTGGAGTCGAGCAGTGTGTTGTGATATGTCTCGTTTATCAGATATAGGCCGGAGTCATTGTCAAGAGTCAGGCCAAACGCTTGTTCAAAGGCATCAACGACATCGTCTGGAAGCCAAATGTTGGGGTCGGTGGAGTCGATGTATATGTCTATAGAGTCGGAAAGCAGAGTTGTCGAAGTTGATCCGCTATAGCTTATGGATTGCAGAGAAACAACTAGGTCCCGGGTGATATCACCTGCCATTGTGAAAGAGACAGTATTTTCTCTGAAGCGTGAGGTGTCATATCCAGAGAAAATCAATTGGCCATATACTTGCTTGAGCCCTATATCGATTGTCCATTAGATCAGCACTGCCATTGTAGGCTTCAAGTGGTGCACTTACGATATTGAGCTCCAGCAGTATAACTCCAGCTTAAACTTGGGATCTTTTTCTGGTCCTTCAGCGTTGTGAGAAACGAAGGCGCCGAGTAATTACCCAGTACGCTGAAGTTCACTGGCTGATTATTGAGTCCAAAGATACCGCTATAATTATCACAGGGTTAGAGTTTAGATCAAGATAGTTTGAGAAGAATGAGGTCACATACAGATAGAACGGCTCAGCTGTTGCAATACCGGCAACGGTCTGGTTCTCCAAGCTAGGTCCTGTGAGACCTATCCCCAGGTGTTCTAGACCAAACTGCGCTCTCTGTTTGTATCCGAGATTCGCTTCGAGACCAACTCCATTCTGATTGATCTCATAAGTGCCCGCGTCCTGCCAGCTCGATGACTTATTGATGTTATATAAGTTGCCCCTTGATACTGCGCAATCATCGGGGACTGTGGCAAATACAGATGTCGAGCAGGCCAAGTCCGACAAAGGGACCAATGACTCTGGGGAGGCCGTTGAGACGAGGACTCTTATGTCTTGCTCTGGTGTGCCAACTCGAATGTCGAAGGTGCTCCATGGCCCATCATTGCCTTCACTATACGATTCTTTAGCATGTGACAAAAGCCCCTGTGAGCATCTCAGGTAGAATTACAAGTATTCACTTGCAGGAATTACGAGAGCCTGAGGTGTATCATCTGATATCGACTCTGCAATGAGGGCCGCAAATGTCCATATTATTGCGGCAAGACGACGCATTGTGAATTGAAACGCTGTACGAAGAGCAAAACCCTCATTAGAAACACATCGGTTCGAAAATCAGACTGCACTTTTTTTCGATCAGTGCTTATTTGAATTGAGGAACTGGATTGAATTGACTATGACGAGCATGAGTGGGCGTGCGACCGGTGAGGAGTCCGTTCGCTGTTATTGAACAAGATTTGCGGGCTCGGGCTCACACAGTCACACTCTTTGAGCGTTCTGACAGCTGCTGCACCCGCATTGGCAGCCCAGCGGCGGCGACATCCTGTTCGCGTGGCCAACGGCAAACGGCACATCATGACGTACAACTGGACGTATCAGTCCTCGTGTTGACCTCCGGAGCTCAAGCTCCAGTCGGCGATTTGTTGCTTGATGCAGAATTAGTTGGCAGGGAGAGACGTCACCTTGCAGCGGTTTCCCCTGGTCCAATCCCTTCTAGCGGCCAATTAACGGCGTGAGGCCCAGTGTCGATTAGCTACATTTGGGGAACCCCTGTCCCATAAATCCCATAATAGCTTAAAGCCGCATGAAGCTGGCCGCTCTTAGCCCATCCTGGCGCCCATCCCCCGGTCCATACGCCAAATATGACAGCATGTAAATGTAGGAAGAACCGGGAATTGGAAACCGGTGGTTGCCATCAGGTTGGGCTATCGTTGATTGATCGATTGACGGATGGTGGACCAGCCATTTGAATAAATCCCATATAGAAATGCATGCGGCCTGCTTTCTCTCCCTCCCTATGTTATGTTTTCGCTTCGTTGCGCATTACAGCCTCTAACATTCGTTAATCATCGTTCGCTCAACTCAAGAAAGTTGTTGATTTAGAGCTGCAAAGATGTTGTCGCCTTCAAGCACTTGGGCATCGCTTGGATTGGCCCTGATCCTGTGTATTCAGGGCTCATTCGGCGATGGTAAGTGGCAAATCTGACTGAAGCGGTCTCATCTGAATCTTCTAACAACCTCATACAGTTCATCCCCGTCAATCGCCAAATGTCACGGAGATCGAAACGGAGACAACGGTTATATATGATCCTAGCTGCTCTAGCGATGTCACCATCATTGACAAAACGACAATTCTGTCGCCCACGACTGTACCAGTAACTCACTACGTCTCTGTGCCGGTGACGCACTATGTCGATGTCACCTATTATGTAAATATCACCTCAACCAGCACTTTCGTTGAGTCCATCACCGAATCCACGACGACGACTCTTCACTACACCGTCTCAACCACAGAGACAGACCTAGAAACTGTCTCATTCACGGAGACGGATCTGGATACCGTCTCAATAACAGAAACGGACCTGAAAACTATTACGAACACGGAAACGGACCTAGTAACTATCACCAACACGGAAACGGACTCTACAACGATCACCGAGACGACTTATACGACTACAACTATCTTCTCGACGACGTATGACCCGTGTCCGACGACTTGTAGCATGTAAGTCTTCAGTCAAATGTACCCAATTTTTGGGGTAAGTCATGCTGACAAACTCATTTCAGTTCCGCCGGAACTGTCAACCTGTACTTCTGGCCAACGGACAGACCCTACAGTTATCCGACCACATATGTCGACACGAATTTGGGCTACACCTTGTAAGTCTTTTGCCGTAATTTGAAAGAGTTCTCGTCTAATAGTGCGATAAATAGCGTGTCGCCATCGGTGTACATGTACATACCCACTGCAGTTGGAACCAATTCCCTAGGACTCGTCGGGCCGTCGACCTCGAAATGGATGCTTCCTTTAGATTTATTCGAGGTCTCCACCATTGTCGATGGATCCATCACACGGCAGCTTACTCTCAGCGATTTGGGTACAGACTGCCCACAGACCGCCGACCCTACCGCCATCGCCACCATGGTCGACTCACGCTGCGATCCCATTCTCGCGGCTCCGAAGCAGGTCAGCTCATGGGCATATCCATGCAACGCCTGCGGTCGATTCGGTCTGTTCGATCCGCCGTATGCGGTTCCCACTGTGACGGGTGGCCTAATTGAGCCTACAACAACAGCAACCCCAGCCCCAATAACTACAGTCACCCCGGCTCCTACACCCACTCCTGAAGTCGGAGTTCTTCTAATTGTATATTATTCCGATGGAACCCCAGTGGCTACGGCCACAGTCACGACTACAGGTGCAGGCGGCACTCAGACCAGTTCTGTCGAGATTTCGGCCACCAGCGTCGCAGTCTCGAGCACTGCGGTCGAGACTACTTCGGAGTCGGCAGCACCAGTGAGCTCCTCGTTGAGCTCGTCATTGCCAACCACCACTCCAGTAGCCACATTCTCTTCTTCGACGTCAGTCTCACCGACAACATCGGTGGTGACAGCGTCTGCCACAAAAGTGGCAGGCGGACTTGCATGGTTGATTTCAAGCATCTTTATCGCAATATACCTCATGTAATGAGATTATGACTTGGAGTTAGGGAAGGATATCAGGATATAGGATTAATTACATATACCAATCATTTACGATGATATGCAACCATTTGCGCTGGCAATCAGTGCAGGAGCAATTCGCTCTACCCATTTTACAGGAATAAACATATGAAGCCAATCAGAGCATTTAGCAACTTGGAGAGTGATGCCTGTTTTGATATGCTAAAATTGTGAAGCACAATCTCTACAAACATAACTATCATATTATCCACTTCTTAAGAGGATTTATCCTGACATTGTAGACCTCTTGTCCCAGTCCCTTAACCCTCGGCCGCTGCAAAACTCCCATCTTTCTGATGTTATATTCCTCCATCCACAGCTCATGTTCCGCTCGCCATGCATTGCTCGCTACCCATTTGGTGGTTCCATCTGGCTTGTGCAGTGTCCCAAAAGCGTTCTCGCGATTTCCAAAACATGTAATTTGCACCTGCACCCGCTCTCCCGAGGCTCTCTTGCCCAGACTTATGACGTGGGGATCGACCGCAATGATCTGTTTCCGGAGCTGGGGATCTCTATGATCTGCAACCTCAACTTCCAGAACTGGGCCAGCAAACCTTGGTAATTCTAGCCACAAGTCCTGGTCTTCTTGTGTATTTGCAGAGAATGAACAATGATAAGTGACGTTGCCCGCATAGAACGGCAGTCCCATTGTAGTCCAGTCACCAAAGTTGATCTTTAAGTCGAACGGCTTAATAGTGGTCTCGCGTCCCCGTATGTCCACGCTGAAGTTTCCCAGAAGGTAGACACGCTCAATATTCGTAAGTAGTCCAAAGGCGTATGTGAGTTCCAGTTCGTGTTCTCCGGCTGCGATCGGAGGGAGGTCGACGGTATGAATATCTTCGTCCACCCACCATCCAGAGACGGTTGTTGGCTGACTGAGATGAGCACCATCGATAGCGATCCTGACATTAGGTGCATCCTCAATAGCAAGTTGCGTTCCCTTGATGGGGGTTGTTGTAACGAACTTGAATCGTACAGTTACATCTGCCTTGGGCTTGGTCTTCTCTTCGGGTTGCGACCAAGGCTGACGGAGAGCCTCTAGTTTCAGAGGCAGCTGCAATTCGCTGCGAATGTCATTTTCCAGTCGAAGAACTTCTCCTTCCTTGGACCAGTCTCCAGAACCGATCTTATAAGAGCAGAAATCTAGAAGGAGCACGTTTGGTTCGCTAAGTGTGACTTGGTCAAGAGAGACATCAGTCCCTAGCGTGCGGAGGGAATTCCGCGGCACGAATTGCTGGCTCGACTCTGACGTGGAGGCTTGCTTGGGTGCCTCAATAACAGAGAGTCGAAGCAAAACGCTTCCAATAGCCTCAAAGGTCCACTCAATAGTGGTCCACCCATTCGCAACTTTGGATGAAAGAGCTCGCTCTTCACCTGTAAAAGTGTCAAGCAGGGTAATCTCATATTCGCCACGAATATCAATTTTCGTGGGATAGTAACGGACCCGGTCTGTGTTGCAGATGAAGACATATTTATTATCGCCATCATCTCGCATTTGATACAGAATTTTATTGGAAGGGACACCCTCATCGGTTCTGATGCGAACATCTCGGAACGGTTCAAGAGCTTGAAGGATGTGGAAAGAGCTGAACTGTATAGCATCGGCATAAGGTGTGCTGACAACACCATTCGGCGATGGCATGGCGTCAACAAGTGATGGTTGGCTTCCGGCCACAAGGACGCGGCCACCATTCTGTGTGAACTTCTCCAGTCGTGTCAAAGTAGTGGATCTTATGGTCCGCAGATTGGGGACAATGACGACCTCATACTCCATCTTGCCTACCGGGAGTTTGTTTGACGTGATGGACTCGATACTGCACTGCTCTGGGAGCAAACTCTCAGATACAAAGTCAAAGTCAACCAGGCCGAAGATGAGCCACTTTGTCAAGTCTTCAAAAGCCTGGTCTCTGTACGCCATCTCATCTGCGTTCGAGTCCATTGGCCCGAAGCACAGCCAGAAACTCTCGATAGGATGAATGACCGCCACCCGAGTCACGGGCTTGCCGCGCGTCAGTGTGACGTTAAGTCGAGAGAAATGGTCTTCGATGTATGGGTACTGTTTGTACCAGTTGCTTTGGTATCCAATGCATGCTGGGTAGTCTCGCTTGCCTTCACCGGCCATGCTGACCCAGGTCAGATGATGAACTCGGAAGGTGATACCCAAAACAGCCTGCCAGTCTCCACTAGCCTTGTGACCAGCGAAATCAAACGTCCAGTTTGTTACGCCGTCTACATAGTTCAGTCAGTATTAAGCAAAATAATGCTAATGATAAGGGCGGCTTACATATCTCACTCATGACGCCTCGAGCGCCATTCTGCCGGGCGACACTGCTGCATTGCTTGACAGTATTGAACTCAAATGCATCGCTCAGCATGTCAACACCGGGAACATCTAAGCTACGATAACAGCGCATTGCCTCTCCAATCGCTTCAGTTTGAGATCTTAGTGTAGGTTCCCGCATCATATGCCCACAGAGCATAATCTTATGCTCTTTGCACCAAATTGCAATGTTATCCATGAATGCGTCAACGAATGTCTCGCAGACGTGGTTGTGAAAATGGTATCTCGTCAAAGTTGATGGAGATGTGGTGGACTTTTGTTGAACATCCCATATTAATTCTGGCAAACGATCAAGCAGGTCGTAACCATACGTTTGAGAAAATGATTTGCCAAGGTTTGTCGTCCAAGGAAGAAAGATGTCCGATGTGTCGGTTGCCTCTTTGAGACCGGTCTTGTGGGCGAACTGTGGTTCATCGGTAAAAATACTCGGTACCGTCGACCCGAACATGTCTGATAATGCGTCTGCGTAAACTTCATGAGTTGTCTCGATGAAGCGCGAAACAGCCTTCTTGTTAAGAGTATCGATGTACGCTCCCGTATTGAACCATTCAGAATTCGGATTCGTTTCGATGTATGCATACCAAATATTCCTTCCCGAAATTTGTTGGTCGTCGTCACTGAGCCTCTCGGCTCGAATCACGGTGCTGCCGGAATCCTCAAAAAAGATCTCATATCTAGCGACGAGGTGTCCCTGCTCGCTTCGTACGGCGGAAGCATTGGCTCCCTGGGGTAGTCTTTTGCCGAAATATTGTTAGTGGCAGATAAACAGGTCAGCTAACTAGGGATACGTACTTTATCTTCCCAGCTGCGCCATACTTGCGAGGAGTGATGAGCAGATGAAGAGCTCGATATTCTGGATTGTCTTTGGTTACCAAACCGCCTCCATACCCACTAGGCCAGCGATCTTCGTCATACAGACACGCCAGCATGCCTTTTTCGGCTGCTCGTTCCGCACAGGCCCTGGCATGGGCCATAAACTCAGGACCCATGTAAGGCGTGCCTAGTCCAGTTCGAGAATGCATATGAAAGCCTCCGAGACCCATGTCTGCCATGTGGTCAATCTGCCGAAGGAGCTGGTCTCTCCTGAGGCGATTGTTCCATGCCCATAGCGGATTTCCTCGATACTCCGAGGTTGGTGATTGGAAGAGAGCATGATCGAATGGCAGGCTAGACTTTGGAAACAGAAGGGGGTTCACCTTCTCTCCGTTTTGTTGGCCATTGGCCGTACGAGACGAGTAACCCATGGCCATGATTCGTCCAGCAAACAAGATCTTTCAAGTGACGAATGGAAAGAGTCTCTCAAGTCATTCTCCCTATTCTCTACGGTGCAAGTCTAGAACACCATGAACGAGGGGATCAGTACGTCCACATAGTCTTTGCAATGCAAATACAGCAGCTTTCTTCAGGTGTCTAGCCTCCTGACGACGAAACTGGCTCGGTTGATGTTCTCACGAAAGTTAGCGGAAATGCCCTCTTAGTTCGGTGAAAAGAGGTTTGGCGCCGAGTAGAGGCGGAAATGTAACCGGAGAAGCAGAGACCCGCTCATACAACCCCCGCATCCCCGGAGTGACAGTCCCCACAGCACAGTTTTGCGGGGTGTTCCACGAGCAAAGTCAGATGCCCCGAGGGATACACAACAGGCGGTTTCCGGAGGTCTGGGGTTGCCCCTGCCAGAGTCTAGCAGTGGGTTTATATACGAGGATGCGGATCCCCTGGTGCTTTGGCTTGCTCAGAACACGGCAACAATAGTCTTACATGCGTTGGGATCATTGTCTTTCTGCTTGTCCTTTCAGATCCGGCTCGTGTCAAGATGACTGTAGTAAAGCCACAACGTGGCCATCATGGCAACACCAGAAGTTCTTTGCTTGCCGCCATGGGCATCAGTATGGGAGGGTATGACTGCTTTTCTCCGTTGTTTTTCATCGTCTCGCTAACGACTTGTGAAGACTTCTCTATGGTCTTGACAGCGGAATCATCGCCACGACCATTGGCCAAGCCTCATTCAAACAGTACATGTACGGCGGGCCCAAGGGCGATCCATCCCTGACTGGAGGCATTGTCTCTTCGTATTATGCCGGAAGTTGCATTGGCGGTCTACAATCAGGATGGCTAATGGACAGATGGAGTCGTCGTTATACTGTCCTCATAGGTGCCATGGTCAGTATTGTTGGAGCGGCTCTGCAGGCCGCAGCCATCAATCCGGGCATGATCATTGCGGGTCGTATACTCAGTGGTTGGTCCACAGGTGTTCTCTACTCTGTGACTCCCGTCTACTTGGCCGAGGTTTCACCGCCGGAAAATCGAGGTTTCCTAGTCGGCTTGAAAGGTCTCACCAACGCCTTGGGCTTCTTCTTGGCCAATTGGATTGGCTATGCCGGCTCTTTTGCTCATGGCAATGCCTCTTGGAGAATTCCCCTGGCTATGCAAGCACCTCCTGCAGTTGGTCTGGGTTTACTCGTGATCTTTATGCCCTTTTCTCCTCGTTGGCGTGCGTATACCTCTTTCTATCTGTCAATGCGTTGAACTAATCTGTCTGCAGTGATCAAGCAAGAAAGATATGAGGAGGCTCTTGGAGTTCTTCAGAGGCTTCATGGAGCGCGAGGCGAGGACTTTGTACAGAAGCAATACACCGAGATCCGAGACCAGCTAGCTTTAGAGGCAGATATTCGCAAGAAGTCCTCTATTCGCATCCTGTTCACTCCCCGCTATGCCCGTCGACTTTTACTAGCCTGCCTCATTGTCAACATGACGAAGCTGTCCGGTTCTCAAATTATCCAGAATTACCAAAGTCTGATGTACGCTGCTCTCGGTTTCAAGGGCCAGACTGTGCTGCTTATTGCGGGTTGCTATGGCACGATGGGCGTGTTGGGACAGATCATGAACTTGATCTGGGTTTCCGATACTTGGTCAAGACGCAGGACTATGTGTAAATTCATTCCATGCCTCAGTCGTTGCAAATCACTCACATTTTTGCAGGTGTCGGTTGCGCATCTTTGGCGGCTACTCTCGGTGTCCTCACGGCTCTCTCCAAATTCTACCCAGATGACCATAACCTGGCCGGCAGCTCTGCGGGCGTTGCTTTCATCTTCATCTTTTCTCTCTTGTACGCTCTGTTCTTCAACAGCACTAACTGGGTGCTGGTATCGGAGATATTCCCTCTTCATCTTCGAGGTACAGGTGTTGGTTTTGCCATCACTACGCAAGCCATCACTGCGATCTGGCTCACCCAAGTTTCCCCATTGGCTTTCGACAGTCTAGCTTGGAGATTCTACTTCATTTTCATTGCCACAAATATCGTCGCCGGAACTATCTACTACTTCTTCCTTCCTGAGACCAACCAGCTTAGTCTTGAGCAGATCGCCGCAGCGTTCGGTGATGCCGCAGTTGAGCCGAATGTTGGCAAGGTGATTGACGACAAGGAGAATAACGACGAAACCGAGGCGATCGAATACCAGGAGAAGAAGTAAATTGTTAGCTTTTGGAATCAGTGGAATGATCGGGTAGAATTACAGGAGGAAACCACAAGAAAATACAAGAAGGCAAATAATGGGATCAGATTACAGATGGATCAAGTTCACTCTATGAGGCAAGAATATTTTCAGATTATGCTTAGTGGTTATACTTCTTCTCTTGATGTATGCAGTTGCACTGAAGCAAAGAATTGACAATCTTCTCCAACCTGAGAATCCAGCTTATTCATGCCCAGTACATTATCAACAACAAGTCAAGACCACGCTACAGGTCCGTTATACCTACAGCTTGTTGTGCTCAAACCTCCTGCAGCGTCTTGATTATAGAGTATTATCCAGTATTCTCGGAAACATATCCGCAGAACCCAAAGGAGCCTGCTATAATCGACAAGACCGCACAAGATGCACTGTAAAATCGCTTATCCAAAGCGCTTATCCAAAGCGCATACGGGCTATTCCCTCGATTATGACTGCCAATGAATCTAGACCTCAACATGGCCGCGTTCTGGTCCCGTCTAAGCTAAACCATCGATCCACATGCTCAGGAGACTAGTGAAATGAGCTTTCTGGTCAGTAACGCCAATTGTTTCACCTTGCAGTCGACAATCCCTGAAAACACCCCGCAAGTGTCCAACAGTACCACTGCAGTCTCCGAGCCCTTGGGACCCGGATACCTGGCTGCCATGAGGTGTTCTCCACCATTACAGATCATTCTCCCTCCAAGGTGCCTAGTCTGAAGACCCTTTGCTTGTAGATGAAATCAGAGAAGGTTGAATCCCGTATTAACTAAGCCCAAATATCTTCTCCTCCTATCTTGAAAATGTGCCAAGATCCTGACTCAATTCGAGAAAGGTGGTCAACGTCCACCCACGGTTTAATTGTTTTGCCTTCAAATGAATGGAAATATGTAGCAGTTGGATTGGCAGTGTTAAGTAAGGCTATGAGAGTTCCTAATAGTCGCCTCAAGAGAGTCATCGAATGGTGCAAGCGTGCACATAGCCGAAACAAGTGCTTCGAAGTATCCTACTAAATATGAGATAGCATGTGGCTGTAAGCCACAGATGCAACATGTGCGTCTAAGCGAGACCTTAATTGCAAGACATCTTTTACCTAGGCTGAACAAGAGGAAATTCTCTCGCCTCTCCTGCGGATAAACCGAAAACCAGCCTCCGGCTCTCGTCTGAACCTCAATAACCTTGTTGTACTGTAGACCATCTATCCGTGGCAGCTAATGCTCGATTTGGTAGCCAAGTTGTTCTGTGTATGGGGTTTCCACAAATGTCTCCTATTCTCCTACTCTAACCACGATTTGTGAACCATCGGATATCGGCCATTGGGTGCATTGTGCATTTCAGTTCTGCAATAAGGCTAGATCTAATGCTCCATTATGGTTGCCGGAAATTGATATGATAGTGACCCTCGCGGCCACCCCATGACCGTTGAATACTGTCTTCACTGGTCTTGATCGGTTGTGCTAGGACCTGTGTAGTTTAGTCGTGTCTGAATGGTTGGTAATTGCAGCCGCGTTTCAACATTCGGTGGCATGGTGTAAGTGAGCCTCTTTCACCATAGAGTTGGATAAAACACCGAGAACCCATGATTGCTTTGCAATATTCGACTATTCTCGGTAATTCTGGGACCGAAGACAGATATTAGAGTATTTCAATGGGCTTTTGATCGGTATATCTACTACGCGACATCTTCATGATTAATAGGAGTTTCCGCCGACATTTCAACGTTTCCGCCGAACCATGCGGAAAAGCCGCTCGGAAATCTTCATGCCAAGAACTGTGCCGCATGAGGAACGAGGAGAATCCTCCCCATGGGACACCCATGTGGCTAACGTTTTGGTGGCTGATTTACAAGCCACAGCCATTTACAAGATAAATACTCTTTTAGGGTCGAATGCCCAAAGGAGATTCATGAAGCCAAGAGAAAGTAGCAGTGGTCTAGTCAGTTGGCGACATGGTATCTCGGTATATCAACATGCCAATAATGATGGGCTAAGGGCCATTCAGAAAGGCACAAATCGCCATCAATGAGACATGACATGGCACTTTTAATCCTGTGAAGGATAGCGCGCAGTTTAATTCATAACAGCTATGGCCCTATAGGCCGAAAGTAAATCATGATGACAACGAATTGAGGCTCGGCTCTATACTTCCTCCGTTATTGTTGAAGTTCCCTTGACTTCAGCCTCGCTGTGCTCATGATGGTGCCTGAGATGCGGCTCATGAATTCTCTTGTTAACGAAGTTCGTGAGATACTGAGAGATGTCTCGAACAAAGAGCGCAGAGATAATTGAAATGGCTCCAAATGCCAAGCTAGCCAAGTAGACCACCCTGAAACTTGATTTGTACGCTGCCATCGTCCCTTCATTCAGGGCTGTAAGAATAGTTCCGTTCATTCCTGGGACGCTATTCAGTGCGTCGGGTGTGCCAACAGCTGTAGCGTTGAAAAGATCTGGGAGGCTGCTCTCTGGAAGACCTGCGTCCGTCGTATATGAGGCAATATCCTTTGGCAAAATTGAGGTGAGTCGGTCTGAGTAGATCGCAACATAAATGCTCACTAACAATGACGATATTAGCTATAGAACAATCACATGGAGACCAGTGTCCCATTTAAGCAACTTACAGGCGATTGTTCCAGTCACAGCTCGCATAGAGGCAAAGAAACCTTGGCCGGCACCAATATCCTGGGGTTCGACCACGAGACCAGCAATGATGATTGCTACAGCTTCAATCCAACCCACAGCGACACCCGCGAGGACGGTAAGCTATTATAGGTTGTAAGACGAGAGACTTGAGAAAGGTCAGAATGCAAGGTGTACTTACTGCAATACCAAGGGCCTGTTGGTGCTGATCAACGAGCGACATGAGGGCGGCAAAAAGCGCCAGTGTAGCACTTGCAATTGTAAGTTGCCAATTTGGTCGACCCACAAGCTTGAAGAATGGCGAAACAATAACTTCGCCCAATGCTAGGCTGATACCAGTGGTGCTCTATGACAACGTAGTTAGCAACATGACGATTTCGGAAAAGCGCGTAATGTGGTCTCAGCAACACGTACCGACATCAGACCAATTTTAATATTGTCGGTCGTGAAGAAAACGGAAATTGCAGGGGGCCACAGGGTATTCAATGCATAGAAGACCATTTGCCCGACGCATCCGACAATTACAACGGCAGCAAAATTGCGAATCTTGAGGAGCTTCATGGGCATGAGAGGTTGCGACAAAGGCACATAGATTTCTGCACCAGATTAATGACCAAGCTGGACCAAAATAACTCATAACTTACCATATAGTGTAAAAGCTATCAGCACGACAGCGCCAACAATGATAGTGGCGATAACATGGGAACTCTTCCACGGATATGTGCCCTGGGCCCAGGCTTTTGTCTACATGTCAGAGGATATACGCCAATAAGGCCGGGCTGTGATACTCACTAAAACCAAGGAGGAGCAATATCAAACCAGAGCAATAGAGTAATAGGCCAACGTAGTCCAACTGCTTCATCTCTTGCAGCTTCGTCATCTTCTTGTTGATCATGTGGAAATTTGGCGGAAAGTAGCACAATGTAAATAGCACAACAGATAGGCCTGAGACGATGACATTCAACCAGTAGCACCATCTAGCATCAAGTCAGTCAATGTAGAATGCGAGGCCGGCAATCTCTCACCTCCAACCAAGTGCAGTCCTCTCAACCAATGTTCGCGCAATTGCTGGGCCAAACCCAATTGTAGGGGAAAGTCCCAGAGTGATGGCAGCTTGTCCATAGATACGGTATTTGTTAGGCACAAGTTCCTGTATAAGAAGAGGGTAAAGCTGTTGGGCGCCTCCCGCCACTCCAGTAAGAACTGTTCCTGCCACGACCACGTTCACAGAGTTGGCTGTAGCACAGATGATTGAACCGATAACTGCGAAAAGTTGTGCTATGATTATGAAGTAGCGACGGCCGATAATATCACTGATGCGGCCGAAGACGAGGAGCAAGACACCGCTGACCAAAGTGAAGACAAGGGTTACTAGGTAAATATTAGGAGATGGACCTGGTTGTGTTAGTACCGCTCTGCAACACCGTTGGGAAATCAGGAGACAACTCATACCAATATCAGCATTGATTACTGTTAAAATATTGACCGGCATGGAATATCCCACAAAGAGACTATTGCCTAAGAGGACAATAGCCAACAGGGAACCCAGAAATCGGAATGACAGCCAGTACTGGTCTTCAGACTGCTCGATCTCGGTAACCCCATCCTCGGCATGGTCGGAGTGAGCAGCCTGCGTGTCCTTCTCCGCTATAGTGCTCATTGTGCGTGATGTCCACAAAGGTGACAATTCAAAGGATGCGCGCAAGAACATTGAAAGCGGTCGAGGCAAAGACTGGGGTCTATATCATCTCTTAATCTACCCCAGCGTCCCTATGTTGACATCCGACACTCCGAGACCCCGCAACCCCGGACATCCAGAGACTCCCCAGCTTCCCCAGACCCCAGATGTGTTCTCGACCCCCCGCTCGACTCCACCTGCACTGCCCGCATCACGTCGGATACTGGTTTCCGGGCTTGGAGAAATAATAGTCTTTGTTTCATTGCTCACTAAAAACACTTTCACATGGAAACTTCCGTGGGCATGTCATATATTGAGTCGAGGTGATGAAGGCGAACTGTGGGATGAAGCTGAACTGGAAATGCCACTAGGGATTACCGGATAGCTAGGCTCGAAATGCTCGCCAATTTCCTTCTCTCTTACCCCAAGACTCCCTAAGGTAGTATCGTATCCATTCGAAGAGTTTAGTGTTACCCCGCACTTGGCAAATGCTGCCTCTCTTCATGCAAGATCCACTCCGAGATCATTCCCGATCTTTGGGTCTTCAGGGACCAACGTTCTAGACCTCGACTATCTCGCTTTTGGATTTCCTGTTCAAGTTGTTCACTTATTTTCTCTACTCATATCTAAGGCTACAAGAGATGGGAGTTTGGGGACTGTATGATCATTAGTGCATATTAGACTAAACCTCTACCAAAGATTCAATACCTGACATGGAAGTCGCTGTATGACTACACCAGCGTACGCGAACGGTCATCAGGGCGTATTTTTTCCTGCTGAAACCGTCAACAGATGCTGTATTGTGGAACTACAAAATGCTGATTACATTTTAAATCACCACTGAAGTCGAATAGCAACAGGAGCGAGCGCACGTAGTTGAACAAATTTGTCAAGTGCTAAGGCGAAGGCTTTACCTATGATTGGATCGTTTACTTGAACTACTTATCCAGATGGTACTGCTAATGATGTAAAGGTTTGATCAATATGTTAGATGGAATGATGCGAGCTGTGAAGTGATGTAATTGCGATGCATGACAAGGTGCCGTTTTAATTTTTAGTCTAATACAAAATCTAGTCGGTTACATTCTATGTTATGTTTCACCAAATGCGTGTAATCAAGTTGTAGAATTGTGAAAAGGTTGAATATATTAAGATGTATCACAATGTATATAATCTAGTCCATGAGACCCTTCTTGCCATCACCGTCAGCATCCTTGAAGGGGTTCAACCGATCCTTCAAGGAGGGCTTTTGTGCAATTGAACCCTCGGTGGTGGAATCACTGCCAAGACCTCTACGGCCTCCCGTCTCAACACCAGCGCGAGGTTCAATCTCACTATTACTCAGACCCTGGGAGCGGGTGCCAGTTCGGCCGCCAACAGATCCAGAACCGATTTCGCTGCTGTTAACGCCATGGGAGTGTGCACCTCTCTCATGAGTATGTGGATGATCCTCCCGCAGATTCTTGTTATAGTCTGAAGGACAGCCCTCGAATTCAGTTACCTTAGACTTCGCACGCCCATCAAATATCTCTCTGTTGTTCGAGAACTCTTCCATAGTCTTGGTCGGAAGAACGTGGGTGCCATGATGAATAGCCTCTTGGTGATGAGTTTCATGAATAGGAACGGTCGTGTGAACGACCTCAGGGGCAACAGTTTCCTTCTGAATCACAGGCTGGATGTGTTCATGCACATGGTGGTGGGTATGTTCGCCTCCAACAACAGGAGCGGTTGAGGAGGTATGGGTCGTACTATGAGTTGTCGTACTATCCTTGAACTTGGCCGCCTCACGCTCAAGCTTTGCACTTATATTCTTATCATCTCTATGGTCATGGACCTTGTGCTCGACAGGGACGGCATTGTGTGTATGCTTCTCAGGTCTGTGCAACATTCTGTTAGATTCATAAGGAATCCTAAATCGCGAAGACAAGAACTTACAGCACTTCCTTGTGCTTAATCGGCTGCACTACGGTTCTGTAGTGGTCTTGGTGATTCTCACGATCCACCGCTGTGGTCACGTTCTCATGCCTCTGCGGTTGAACATGTTCCTCAGTGACGGCGGGGGCAGCTTCTTGATGCACGTCGGTTGTATGCTTTCCGTCCTTAGAGACGAAGCTTGCAATTGCTTCCTTAGCTCTATTCATCGTGGAAGATTGATTGGCAAATACGTGATAATGAGAGATGTGTCAATATTGTATGAGTGTTCAGAAGTTAGTTTGCCCTTCATGATGGAGGACCCGAGTCTCCGTATATATAACCGTAACGTCCCAGCCAGTGTCATGTCCAAACTTTAGATATGGTATCATAGATTGCTAGACTTTGTGATAGGAAACATAGATGCCAACCCCCGTGGGGTCCCGGAGGCTCTTGCCCGGTCTAGGCCTTGGACCATCCCTGCGCGGATCACCCACGTCATGCACGCCAATGCTTGAGCAAGGTAGGTTAGCCTTGCAACCATTCGCGGCGATTGTCGTCAGGGCGGAGTAATTTTCAGCTCTCATGGTAAACCAACATAGGCCGTGTTGAAGAGCGAGCTGATACTCTCTGGTGATGGGACTGGTTCATGATTTCATCCCGAGAGCTTGACGCATGGTTTAGAGTAGCGGCTCAGGCCGGACTGCAGCAACCGGCGAACTTAATTCGACAGGCCGACGCCTGACCTTGATTCATGGCAGGCCATGACGATTGAATGTGAGAAATATTAAACCTTCATGAAAACGGATGGCCGGTGATGCATGAGCGGACAAAAATGGGGCGTAACGACTACGTCAATTTGCGCCTTCACGATACGGAAGGCTAATTGATTAGTCCTGGTGTATATACAATGTGCAGCAGCGGCATTGTCGGTGCTGCAAATGCGTGGCGTTTTGTGACGAGTACATATTGTCCACTGTCTTAGATCTGCATGCTTTGCAAATATTCGCCCGCCAGACTAGAGTTTGCTCCCGTTGCCGGATTGGGCAAAGTAGACGCTAACCGCTAACACAACCCGTCATGGTGGTACCATTAATTGCACTGTCGATCACGATACCTATTTCGATTGGCTTTACCTCCTAGGCCTCGACTGATCTAATGTGACGGTCCTGAAGGAGAAACAGTTGCAGTTAGGCACCCCTGGCATAATGGCATCCTTGGAGGCGGTACTAACATTCCTAGAGCACGTTCATGTTTACGACGATCCGTTTCCTGTTGTTTCACTATTATTCTTCATAGTATATTCCTCTCAACCCGTAAGACAACATTGAAGTTTTCTCTAACATTTTATATACATCAACTGCTTCAATGTTGCGGCGGTTCAAGGGCGTCCTATCCAGGAGTCTATGTGGCCACCATTCAGCAAATGATGATGGCTTTGACCCAGCAGAATTGGAGATTGGTCGAGACATCAATGACAAGCCGATTGAAGGTTTTGCAGAGCATCCGGCCGTACGACCTTTAAAAGCTAGACGAATCCCGCCCTCATCTGGGCCAGCAAATGCATTTAGGCCTCTCACTCCTCCCACGACACCGCCAAGACATACACAAGATACCCCAGGCCAAACACGCCCTTCGCGGGATACAGTCTCTAGTTCTAGACAGCCAAGATTACATGAGAAACCGTCTCGTCAAACATTCACGAGATGGGACACCGGGTCGTCGATTGAACTGGGCTGGACAAGTCAACCCTCTCAAAATGCCCAGATAGATCAGAGCGCGCGAGCGACAGCGAGCAGTGACAATCGAAATATGCTCAGTGCGACATCATCAATGCCTAGACTTCCAGAGCCAGATTTCCCAAGTCCAGCAATAGATCTCGGGAATTCCCATACCAAATCCGATGTGAGCGTCGACCACGTCGCACACGCTCAACCTGCTGTCACCGAGGAAGATATACGGCCTCATGTTCATACCATCTACCATCCGGTTCGGACACGCTCTATTCACATACATGAACATAGGCTACTCATCCAGCCAATCATTGTTCCTGCTTCACCGACGGAACCAAAGCACTACTCTTGAACCGTTTGCGATACCTCTGCCATATCAGATGCGAAACTAGGGCAATCATAAATACCAATTTTAGTTTATTTTTGGCATTGAGTAGTAATTAATCAATCCTCAAATGGAAATAAATGCACTTTTTCCTTGTTTATAAGAATCTCAACACAATAACCAGGAAGTAATTGAATAAAACGAAACATGATAATGAAATCCATACCAGGGCTATCATGTTGTTTTTGGGACGTTGCACGCTCAAGACACCACAATCTACATGTGATAACCAATCTACATTATTCTCCGCTTTAAATGGAAGTTATCGTATCAGTCGTTGAATGAGTGCATATGGCATAGCCGCCGTACCTTTTTTGTGACTTGATAGCTCCTAAATCGGCTTGTGACCGTACCTGACAGACATTAGATGTTATCGGTTCACCTTCATATACGAAGCGAAAATCCCCTATTTGCAAAGTAAACTTGATCTCATTTGTGGTACATGATTAGGCCCCCCAAAGATTGTGCTGTGTGGATAGCATCCCGAGCATTCTGCATTCGTGGTCGTGAAAATAAGCAGTTGTGAGTTTCACCCGACAGTGGGACATTCGCCTCCCACAACACCAATGAGGCCGCACCCACAACTTATCAAGTACATAAAGCTTTGATAGTTTTGATATTTGGCATCTAATGCATCTATATTGCAACATACCTAAGTAACTCATGGCCCGGTCCAACTCCATTGTAATCGATGCACCTCCATGATTCCACGCTATACTCTTGTGTCTTTTGAACCACATCTAAGCCACCCACTTGCGAGCGCTCCTGAACATCCTCAGCCAGGGACCGAATTCACCCCACTCCTCGACAAGCTCCGGCGGCACGTAGCTACCCACATCCGCCATGATCGTCCGTTCAGGGTGAGGCATCATAGCCAAGACACGCCCATCCTTGCTAGAGACACCGGCAACACCACCAGGGCTTCCGTTCGGGTTGTACGGGTACTGCTCAGTGACACCAAGGCGGTTGTCAACATAGCGCAGCGATACCAAGCTAGACGCAGTAAGCTCTTGTAGCGAGTTGGGCGAAGCAAATTGTGCTCTCCCCTCTCCATGAGATACGACAATGGGGAGGGCAGATCCGTTCATCCCGTGCAGGAAGACTGATGGCTTGGCGGGATTATCCTGGATCTTCACCATGCTGTAACGGGCCTCGAACTGTTGGCTGGTGTTGTCAACAAACTCCGGCCAGTGCTCTGTGCCAGGGATGAGCTCCTTGAGCCTGGAAAGCATTTGACAACCGTTACAGACTCCAAGCGCGAATGTATCCGGCCTCTTGAAGAACTCAGCAAATTCGCGCCGGGCGTTCTCGTGCATAAGAATAGACTTAGCCCAGCCTTGGCCGGCGCCGAGGACGTCACCATAGGAGAAGCCACCGCAGGCTGCCAGGCCCACAAAGTCCGCAAGCGAGCGGCCGGAGATGATATCCGTCATGTGGATATCCACCGCTTCGAAACCAGCAGCCTTGAAGGCGAAAGCCATCTCAGCATGTCCGTTGACACCTTGTTCTCGAAGAATGGCGACTCGGGGGTTCTTGCCGAAGAGACCAGTGATAGACGCTGTCAGGGGTAGGATATTTTCGGATGGGGAGAAGCTAAGCCTATATGAGAGACCAGGGTCGTTCGAGTCTGCAATAGTACTATACTCGCTCTCAGCACATAGATGGTTGTCTCTTATCTTCTGCATCTCAAACGAGGTCTTTGTCCACCATTGTTGCATCTCGGTCCTATCAAGGCTAACGAATGGCAATGCGCCATATCGAATTGTGAGTGTTTGTTTTGTCTTTGGTTTAACCACACCAAACTTCTTGATCAATCCAGGTGGTGGTCCACAGGTTGCGAAACATCTCTTGAAGTTGATCTCATCTGAAGCTCGAACCTGGAAGACCGCACCGAGCTCTTCGTTGAAGAGCGCGGCTGTGATATCCTCAAGACTGTTTGTTTTGGCGATTCCGTCAACCATGAGGTCAACGCCACATCGACCAGCAAACATCATCTCAGCCACTGTGGTGATCAAGCCACCATCAGACCGATCGTGGTAGGCCAGTACAACACCACTCTTGTGCAGCTGATTCAGCGCATCAAAATAGTCGGTTATAAGGTTGAAGTTCTTCATGTCAGGCGCATCATGCCCAATGGTACCAAGTGACTGCGCGAAGGCAGAGCCGCCCATGGCTTTCCGGCCCTCAGCTAGATCGACGAACATGAGTACTGTCTCTCCAACATCTTCAACCCGTCGGAGTTGCGGTGTCCAAGTGCTCCTGATGTTTTCAACCACAGCGAATGCTGAGATAACTACAGAAACCGGGGCTGTGACGCTCTTGGTATCACTTCCATCTTTCCATGACGCCTTCATGGAAGTAGAGTCCTTGCCAACAGGGATACTGACTCCAAGTTCAGGGCACATTTCCATGCCGATCGCCTCAACTGCCTCGTAAAGAGCCGCTCCTTCGCCAGGATGACTAACAGCCGCCATCCAGTTGGCCGATAGCTTGACTCTTCGCAAGTCACCCAAAATATCCGCTGCGCCGAGATTCAATAAACTCTCCGCAACTGCCATTCTCGCTGAAGCTGCGGGGTTGATGAGTGCAAGCGTCGGCTTCTCACCCATTGCCATAGCCTCTCCAGTCTTGATCTTGCCGCCAATATGGAAAGATGTCGCTGTGACAGCAACATCCGCAACTGGTGTCTGCCACGGTCCAACCATTTGATCACGAACAGTGAGTCCACCAACAGTACGGTCGCCAATGGTAATCAGAAAAGATTTGGAACCAACAGCCGGCATGAGGAAGACCCGCTCCACGGCCTTCTTGAATAGCTCAGCATCGCCAACACCATCGCCAAACGCCTTCTTGAGACTGGGAATAATCTCAAAGGTGGCTAATTTTGGCTTCTTCGAAGTTACGTTTCGTTCTTGACGGCGTTTCGGTGGGAACAGCGCCTCCATCGGCAGGTCGATGGGACGGGGATAATCCCTAGATTCTCTATCGGTGACGACGAGCTTGGAAACGCCATCTGCGTCTCTAGAGACAACAGTTCCGACGTCTGAAAACCCACAACGCTCCCTTCGGCAAATGCTCGAGAAACGATTCATACCTTCGCTGTTAATGAGAAGCACATATCGTTCCTGTGCTTCGTTGCACCATATCTGCAAGGGGCTCATTGCGCGGTCTGCGCTCTCAACTTGTCGGAGCTCAAAACGACCACCAAAGCCAGCGTCCTTCACCAGCTCGGGTAAAGCGTTGGACAGACCGCCGGCACCAACGTCGTGAATCATAGCAATAGGATTCTGATCACCCAGAGCCACGCAAGTGTTGATAACCATTTGAGCTCGTCGTTCCTGCTCGGGGTTTCCACGCTGAACACTGTTGAAGTCTAACTCGGCATTGCCTTCTTCGGAGGCATTGCTGGAGGCCGCACCACCACCCAGGCCAATCAGCATAGCTGGGCCACCAAGGACGATTACATGTGCGCCTTCACGAACGAATCTCTCTTCTTTGAGCGCATGCTGTGGTCTGACAGTGCCGACTCCTCCAGCAATCATGATTGGCTTGTGATAACCACGCCACTCGTTCGTTGCATCACTGGGCTCGGGTGTAAGGAGGGTTCTGAAAACACCCGTCAAGCTTGGGCGTCCAAATTCGTTGTTGAAGCGAGCACTGCCAATAGGGGCCTCGAGCATGATATCAAGACTGCTTGCGTAATGATACGGGCGACCGATATCTAGCTCCCAAGGAGCGACATTGTCTGGGATAAGCAGGTCTGATACCCAGAAGCCACACAGACCACCTTTAGTCACTGAACCTCTGCCCACCGCACCTTCATCTCGAATCTCTCCGCCGGCACCGGTCGCGGCACCGGGGAATGGTGATATAGCCGTGGGGTGGTTGTGGGTCTCTACTTTGCCCAGAATGTGCATCACCTCAGGGGTCAACTTCCATGAGCCAGTAGAATAATCCGGCGCCCAGAAGCTGGCAATCTCTCCCTGAAACACGGCGGCATTGTCGCTATAGGCAGAAACAGTGAAGTCGGGTGTCTTTGCGTGGGTATTCTTGATCATCTCGAACAGGCTCTTGTCCTTGCGCACCCCATCAATGGTCCATGCCGCATTGAAGACCTTGTGTCGACAGTGCTCAGAGTTGACCTGAGCAAACATGAACAATTCAACATCATGAGGAGGTCGGCCAATCTTAGTGAACTCCTCCACAAGATACTGCATCTCAGACTGATCGAGGCCCAGACCCATCTTCTTGTTATAATCCTGGAGGACAGTGATGGGATCCTGTTGGCTGGCGAAGATGTCGACAACGTCAAGCGGTGCCGAGGAGCCTTCGTCGAACATCTTGTCAAGGCTCGGTTGCTCGTAGCTGATTGTCTCGGTCATACGGTCGTAGAATACGTCTCGGAACGAAAGGTCTTTCTGACCGTCCTGCGGCTGCTCGAACTCAATCGTGATGCGTCGTCCCCGCTCGAGTCTGTGGACTTGTCCCTGCAAGCCACAGACATCGGCGATGCTTGTGGCTTTCGAACTCCATGGCGAGATATGGCGGGGCGTAACATAGATATCGGTTGAGGAGGTCGTGTTCTCAGCGTCAGCAACTGATTGAGAGTCAGTAATCTGAAGAAGCTGTTTGACCTGCTCGAGCACGCCCTTGTCGGTGGTCTTCAAGTCGATGTAGTAGAGCCAGTGGCCCTCGATCTGCTTGACCTGGGCACTGGGACTCTTCTTGTTGACTCGGTCAAGGAGTTCTTGTGCACTGATGGGCGTGAAGCAAGAGCCCCCAACCAGGACCTCGTGAGGCATCTTGAAGGAGAGGGTTAGTTCGTGCAATTGAACGAACTTATCCTTTCATGACAATAAATGTATTGACACGGTGATACGCGGGGCGTAAAATTTTATGTGAGTCGTTCTTCGATACCGGCGCTCCCTTATCGATGGCGGGGGCGGGGTCCTAAATCTCAGCCAATCATTGCCCACTCTATCACGGATTCCGGCGTAGGTGGTCCGTATCCTATTTGACTTGCAGTGGAGCATCTGTAGGTGGAGGAGGCACTGGCAGGGGCCTTGACGTGCTGATGCAGCCTGTAACCTAAGGCTAATTCCGCCTAATCAATCACTAACAGGCCCGTCCAGACTCCCTTGTCGCCGAGCGCCAGCTGGGACAAATGACGGCTGCCTTTCCCAGGATTCGCTTCTGCACAACGTAATCGTGTCTCATACCCCCGACCCCGACCTCCAACGGTTAATCCAGACTTGAGCTTGAACAATTCTCTTCTTGATTTACTCGGAGTGTTTTTGCCAACCGCTGCAGCATCGCAAGCCGACTTGTCTTAATCTATTGATTTCCTAGCAGGTGCAATCCGGGAGGGTCTCAGGTACGGGGAAGACGATTAGAGCAAATAGACATCGACCAGACCTCCACAATGTCGAATCCAAACGCTCTCTTTCTGCTTGCAGACCACGTCAAACTGTCGCTACTCGAGCGCCAACGAGCACAGACACTGAATCTTGAGAGTGACTCGCAAGATGGGCACATCTCCAGGTCATTAGATCAATTCCGCGATGGGCTGGAAGCGCTGGAGAAAGAGCAAAAGCGGCTCGAGGAGGCCGGCGATGCAGAGTATGCCTTCCTCAGCTGATTGCGTATTATCATGGACTAGGACTAGGACTAACAGCTCTCCAGCAAAGCTGCCAACATCTCAGACTCGCTCCCCGCTCTTCAGAAGCAATATAACGACCTGACGTCGCAATTCCACGGCTTCTCCTCACCAAGCACGACATCAACCCTCACACACCCCAATGACCCTACTCTGGCCGAGGACTTCGAACACGCCACGACCACCAGCCCGCCCGCAGCCTCATCTACCCTGCAACCGCCCGCCAAGAAGTCCCTACGCTCATCATCCGCCACATCTCCCGGCGGCGGCGCTTCATCCAAGACGGTACGCTTCCAGGACGCGGCGCCCGTCTCGGACGTCGAGGCGCAGCTCTTCAACCAGCCGTACCGCGACGACCCGGACGCGCCGCAGGGCTACCGCGACCAGGCCGCCGGGCTCGAGACGAACCAGCAGATCCACGCTTACCACAGCCAGATCCTCGCCGACCAGGACGCGCAGCTCGACCGCCTGGGCGAGAGCATCAGCCGCCAGCGCGAGCTGAGCATGCAGATCGGCGACGAGCTCGACGACCAGGTCGCCATGCTCGAGGAGTCGGAGCGCCTGACCGACCGCCACCAGGGCCGGCTGGACCGCGCGAGGCGGCAGGTTGGCAAGATCGCCCGTGGCGCCGGCGAGAGCAAGCAGATGATTGCTATCATCGTTTTGATAGTGATCTTAGTCCTATTGATTGCTGTGCTAAAATGAGGACTGTACTGGCTCTAGTGGTTGGCTTCAGGGCTATGAAGGAGAAGAGATGCATTTTCCATGTACTTGTGTTTGGGCCGTTCAGCATTGAAAGGCGTTCAGGTTGAGTTGTAGAAGAGTCGAGGCAGCGGACGCTTGCATCAAAGGATCCAATGTCAATCAGGCGGCTGTTTGTTTGCACGCCTACCTTGTTTCATCCTGTAATAAGACGTCCAGTGTCAGGCGTCATCCGATTTCTTGAGTTTAATCTAGCAACTCCTACCATACATGTAGTTGAGATCAGCGTTCTTTGTCAAATCAATACATTCAGCCAGCAATTGATATGGGATCCAGCGCTAAAGCTTGTTTAGAACTCTGAAGTCGGAAGGGAAAGCAGGAAGGCATATTGATAACGGCAAGGTTCAATTTCTAGGCTAGCGTACGGCGTCATCCCCAGGGCTCTTGCTCGTAGTCTTTCACCGTCGACCGTCATGAGGGCGGTTCTTCAAACAGCTTCCCTTACTCTGATTGCCAGTCTCGAGACAACAATATCAGGCCCACTTCCAACAAACAACTCAGCGGATGATGTTACCGTCCTTGTCAATCCCCTCCAACCCCTCAAGAATATCACTTCCCCCAAGCATCCCGTAGCCACCGGCTGTGGCTTTCATCTCCGAATTCCAGACCTCATGGAACTTGATGCTCTCATCACTCGCAGCAACCACGATACAGCCCTTTACTGTGGTGCGATCTCGCCTTCGTCTTCTCCTTGCCGTCGTGTCAGACTCTTCACCTCGTTGGACAGGACCACGAGGGTAAGGGATTGCATACAACGCTCGGTGCTCACCCTCCCATGGGATGGCAGCAACTTGTTGACATTCTGGCCAAGAGAAAATGGCAATGCGGTATGGGTGCTCAGGATTTGCATAGCCAAAAGTAGCTGCGATCTCACGACGAGTTGTAGACCAGATGAGACTTGTGACCTGGGCATGGACCGCGATGGTCGCGAGAGCTGCCCCTGAGGTCGTGTGGTAGAAATGAATGCATTTGTCATTCGAGCCACCACCTGTGGCGACAAGACTAAGTTGCCAAGGACAGAACGCAATGGCTTTTACAGCAGCAGTATGCATCCACCGTTGCTTCTCACAGCCATCCGTGCGAATCCGTGCGCGGCTCCATGCAGTTCTGACCGGGTGCGCCAATTCTTCTGTAGCAGCATTCACAGACTCAGTTGATGGGTCTTGACCACGACGATCCACGAAACGAGAATCAAGAAGATGATATGGGGGAAAGTCATCGGTTTCAACTGTCGCGTTGTGATCACGAGGTGATTGAGCCTGCCAATGGCGAGGGGTGCCCAGCGAGTCGCCTTCAGGAGTAAATTCCAACGGCCGAGTCTCCTCGTCGGCCTCTTGTCTATGCCACCAGTTTCGAGGATCATGATCCTCGTCTAAGAAACCTGGAACGTATGGCGGCGAAGCTGGTGCATCGAGAGACACTGAATCATCCATAGCTTCAGTAGAGGTGAACAAGAGCCCAGTAGAGAAGAGACCAGGTTCATCAGAAGCGCTTGGCAGCTCAAGTGAGTTGTCCGTTGCAGTCGCCTGATCCAGACGTGGGCTGGTTGGAGGGCTTGGGGGGTGAAATATATCAGGTCGCTCCTCCTGCTCCTCTCGTGGTAGGACACTGTCAACCTCAAATACGCAGCATAAGTTGTCGTTTCCACCACTTCCGAAAATTCTGCCATGGATTGCCCAAGACAGACCACAGATTTGTTGCGTGTGCACGTTGATAGTGATGATATGGTTGATCTTCCCTCGCCAGTCTCTGCGCTGTCGGGCTTCACGGTCGGTGCCCCGATTGCCATGCAAGATGTCATCCGCGTCCGGCCATTCAACGGCGAGGTAGTAAATGTTGCCCATATTATCGCCAACAAGAAGATCTTCATTCTCAACCAGAACAGCAGGAGCCCAAGGGTTGAAAGACCTACGAAGGGCAACAGTTGGTCTCCAGCTGAGGCAAGCAATTGGTCCAGGAAGGGTGTACTGAAAACGCGGCCATTGGACATCATACAGTGTCGGACAGTCGTGAAGAGACATCAAGGACAAAATGCCGTTGGATCTGCCGTACGCCAGAATTGCTCTATCACCTGCATTTGACGAGAAGTCAATAGATGTGAGCCATGACTCATCGTCAGGGCCCTTATTGAGCGTTTGGACCGAGGACCTCTCGGTCCAGCTGTACAAGGTATTACCGAGGGCTACGGCAAGGGTGTCACAACTTTCAGAGTACGCAAGAACAGAGCAGTAGTAGTCGTCCCGCAAGTTTGGCGCATCGAGAACCCTATTAAAGGTCAGAGTGTATCAATAACTGCGATAATCTCAGGCATACTTGAATGGCGCAATTGGCAGGGACCGAGTGTCCTTCTTGATCTTGATGTTCTCCTTAGCTAGGAGCTTTGTGTCAGCATCATTTGCTTTCAGCCAACAGACATAACTTACTGGCATTCTGATTGTCTTTCGTCCACTCAGTACCGTTCCAGTACGTCTTGCGTTGTTTCAGTTTGGTTCCAAACTCGCTTCTCGAGCGGTCTCTCATCGAACTCGAGAATTGATCAAAGTCAAGAACTCTCTGGGCTCGGTCAATTTTCAAGGCTAAAGCTATCCGCGCTTCGTGTTTTGCTTGATCTTCCTCGTCTCGCGGCCGGTCGGCATGGAATGAAGTGGGAAAGATGGGGGCATTTGTGCCGCTTCGAATCAAACCTCCATGGCCATCATCAACCCCTCCTGTATGGCTAGGAGCTAGCCCGCCGATGTTCCAGACAGCACCCAGGCTGACCTGTAACATGTTAGTAAGAAACCACGACAGGGTGAATTGTTGGCGATTGAGTCCATCCGCGAGGGGGCACGGCTATCAGCGAGAGTACTTGAGTAGCTCACCTGCCGTTCATTGCGAATAATGTCGCCATTCTGATCAAATGGACCTAATGCTGTACCGCTTCCACCCCAGCCAAACCCGTGCCATTGTCCAGCACGTGAAGAAGATGGAGTTGAAGCAGCTTGTATCCGACTATAGAATGGGTCAGGGGCGTCTTTCTCATGGCGGACCAGTCGTTCGCTGGATGTTAGGTCCTCTGGCGATTTGCTGGTGCGGAATCTGCCTGAGCTGGGTGTCGCGGGCTCCCTACCTGGGAGGAACCGGTTAGGGGTACCCAGGCGGGAACTCCTCCGCTCCGAAGCTGAGGCATCTGAACCCCTCCTTGTCCTCAAGCCATTGCCAACGGCAAAGGCCGGTCGAGGTCGCGTGAGGTTAGGTGTTCGTGGGAAAGTCGAGAACTTGGCTTGCCGAGTGGGAGTCGGTGTGCTCTCGTCTTCGTCACCACCATCAAATTGGTCAATTGAGTCGTGCGAGGAACCGTTGCCGTCGAAAGAAGCCATGGGTCTTGGGGATATATTCCCACGACTCGGCGTCATCGTCATGGTGGACAACTTTGTTGGAGACGAGTCAATTGAGCCGTACCCAGAGTCAGAAGAGTAGTAGATGCGAAGGTAAGGATTGGTGATGAACGGAGGCGTCCTCGCCACCTCGGATGTCGTGACGGCAGGCATTGTAGTTTTGTCAATTGCCCTCAGCCTCACGGATGAGACTATCTGCTCAGTGAGTCCAACCATGGCGGTGGGACTGGGAAGAAATGATTCCTGGAAAGATGATGAAATGGGAGATGAGATGCTTGGATAGAGAGAATGATGGGTAGTACGTGTCCCTTAAGTCGAGCGAGTGAACGAGGGCGGAAGACAATCGTCGACGGTGAGTGACTGAACAATAAAGCCCCTGAATGAGGTAGCCCTATATGATCTCGACGATACTCAGTCCATGACAGAACTAGTGCCAGTCCCAAAAGAGTTGAGGTTGAATTGGCTTATTGATAATTTTGTTGGTTATAGGAAGAATAGGGAGAGAGAACACAATAGAGGATGATACAATAAGACAATAGGAAATAGCCACGCGCAACCGCGTGGGTAAAGAGCCAGCATAATCAATTTACAACTGCAGTAACTCAGATCATCGTCACCATTGTGCGTGCAGAACGCACTTGCCATGAGCCGCTTACCCTACCACCATTCACGACAAGACGGACCTGAATGGGAAATAGAAAGAGCCAGGAGCAGACAAACATGGTGAAGTAGCAAGCTTGCCGTGCAAAACCAACCTGCAATTGACTCTTTCTCTATTTGATCATCCTCGGTATTTAAGTATTCGGCGCCTTCCCTTGACTACGCAAAACCGACAGGAACTACCTGTTTGCATTCAAATGAGAGCGTTCAGCTGATAATGCTCTTATATCCAGAGAAGATGGCCTATCCGAGTCTAGTCAGGATGTTGGTGGCAGCATCATTTAGCACATCCAGATATTGTTACCCCCAGTTTTTATATAAAGCCAACTACAGGCAGCTGAAGACGTTGATCAATGCGGCTTAACAATAATTAACGGCCGGCCTTATCGATAAAGCTGTCAACCTCCCGAGGTCGAACTTACAGGGATGCATTGGGCTTGTCAAGGTGCCCCTCTACTACAGCGCACAGACCTTCCTTGCTTGATCCTCCAGCCGTTTCGCAGCTGCCTCATTGTGCTGACGAACCCACTTACATCCTCGGAGGAACAGCTCGCATGCGTGAATTGGTCTATCGCGCTTGCGTCCAGCTTTGCGTCGCGCGATGGCGAGTGTAAGTCTTCTGAAATGTCAAGTGCTCTGGGGTGCTGCCTTGTACTTATAATACAATCATCTAGCATTTCGTAGCTCGCACAATCCGGAACCGCACCGAAGAGCAGAAGGCACAAGAGCTCGAGAAGATCAACAAGTATCGCGAACTCGAGGAGGAAGTGCGAGCCAATGTCAGCATCCACAAAGGCGATTTGTCTTCCTACGTTTCTAACAATCTCCACAGATCGCAAAGAACAACTTCACCCCCGAGGTCTTCCAGCTGACGTCGAAGCTGCTGCGCCTGAACCCGGAATACTACACGATATGGAACGTCCGCAGGCGTTTGCTAATCTCTGGCTTATTGTCCGCACGCTCGCCTGGGTCATGGCCCTCGAGGGCGTCGCCGAGTACGTCTCCGAGTACCACACGCACACCCTCTGGCGCAGCGTCCTCCTCCTCTTCGTCGACCGCGATCCAGCCCGACCCCGCGCCCCCGACAGCTGGGAGGAGTGGTACAATAGCTGATAAGGACTCCGCCGTGTCTGTCGCCGGAGAGAACGGAAACAGTGCGGGCGAAGACGATGCAAACAAGACGGCCGCGGATGCGGAGAATGACTTGGGTATACTCAAGAATGAGTTGGGCTTCACAATACCGCTGCTGATGGAGTTCCCGAAGTGCTACTGGATATGGAATTATAGATCATGGCTGCTTCAGGAGGCGATCAAGCGGTTAGACGTACCAGTAGCACGGCGTATATGGGAAGAGGAACTCGGCTTGGTGTCGAAAATGCTCAACAAAGACAAAAGGAATTTCCATGCGTGGGGCTACAGGCGAGAAGTGGTCAAGCAGCTCGAGAGCGCCGTTCTCAACGGCAAGAGCATGGTCGAATCGGAGTTCGAGTACACATCAAAGATGATCCGTGGTGATTTGTCCAACTTCTCTGCTTGGCACAACCGAAGCAAGCTCATTCCACGCCTTCTGGACGAAAGGGGCGCCGACGACCCGGATAGAAAGGGCTTTCTTGACAAGGGTAAGTCCTGGAGCTCCGGATGCATAACTACCCCCTTCACAAATGGCTGACGATGAATACAGAGCTACATTTAATACGAGAAGCACTAAATGTGGGACCCGAGGATCAGTCCTTGTGGTATTACCACCAATTCCTTATGCTTAACCTTTTTGAGCCTAACGGGCGCTCGACTATAACGCCGAGATTAAGTCAAGATGACCGAGTGACATATGTGAACAGAGAGATAGATGATATTAAGGATCTACTAGAAGATTACGATGACAGCCAGCTGATCTATGAAGCGCTCATAGATTACACTTTGGCGCTGTGCCAGCTTGAAGAGCGTCAGTCGAGTGATGAAGAGAAAGCATCTCTGAATGAATGGCTTGCCAAGCTTCGAGAACTGGATCCTATGAGGAATGGGCGATGGAATGACCTCGAAAAAGACTTGACATCGACGGAAGTACTATGAAGATAGCCGAATGCAAGAAAATAAATGTTGATAAATACTCTTAGAAAGGTTGCTACAGACTGTGACGTATGTTGGGTCTTATATCATACTACAGTGATAATGGACATATGTTAGGCTCGAACTGGTATGGGTAAAAAAGCAAGGGTCAAAAAAGGGGGAAGGCGACAGCTGCCAGATTTGAACCCCTGACCCTGGGATGTGAGATCATCATAGGAAAAAGGGGCAAAAAAAGTAACGACGCGATGGTGGTAACAGCCCTCGCCCCTGGCTGAGACGAACGTTTACAAGGTCTATCCTATAGCTGGATATGTACCCCCGCCGCCGAGTCTGTTTCCGTCGCTAGCGAACCCAAAGGGATATAAGCTAAAGAGCCGCACCGCACTCACCCCGAAGGATGTGGCCACCGCATTGATCATTCCGGGTTAGTGGGAGCTGCCTGCGGTTATATCTTCGCAGTACCAACTCGACCACTCGCCCTCATCGCTCGTTGAAGGAGACTACGCTTATTTTGGTATATAACCCTTTCTCCGGTTGGGGGTGGGTCATCCCATGTTTTGGGTGTGGAAGTCACGGGGAATAGGGGGGCCGTGACGTATGAACACCTCATAAGTAAGGTCGCCAGACATATGCTTGTTTGTTGTATTAGCTATTACCTCTGTAGCCTAAATCATCGCCCTCAAGCCAATATGCTTCCTACAATGAGCCATAGCCAAACACTATGAGCTGCACTTGCCCTTGATGAGGCTCGCGTTCTCCCCAACCAACCCATCAAAGTACGCCAACAACGTCTCAACGGGAATCAGGTCGATGAGGCCCAAGCTGGGATTCGACGACTTCAGGACTTTGCCACCAAACAGCACACGCACATAGTACCCGCTAGCGCTCGTAGCAGTGCTTGTGGCCGCACTCGATGTGGTCGTCGCCGTCGGCTGAACCAAGCAGGAGCACGCAGACGACACCCTCGAGGCATCCCCCTTGCAGTTATTCAGCCAGGTCGGCACGGCAGTCTCAGCGGCAGCCGTGAAAGTCGGGCAGAAAGCGCTCGCGGATTCGGGCTTGCCAATCATCTGACGAAGACAGTTGTCGCGACTGCAACCAGGGGCGACTGTCTGTGTAGGAGCCGACGTAGGGAGAGTTGAGGTCGGCTTCTTCTTCCACAGCTCAAACACCACCTCGCTACCCATGCCAGGCCAGACCATGACATCGATCTGCAGAATAGACAGCAGTCGGCTGACAGAGCCGTCGTGGGCAACATTGTGGTAGTAAATCGTAGAACTCGATCCGTCGAGCACAGAGCGAATATGGGCAGCCAGCTCGGCAACCCAGACGCCATACGAAGCTACACTAGCGGGGAGGGAGTCCTTGGCATCGCGGTAGATCTGCGAGTACTCCCAGTTGCCGAAGCGGTATACCTCGTCCGCCTGCTCCTGTGTGACACAGGTGGTGCTGTTGACTCCGTTGACGAGCTTGCACGGCAGCGGCTTTGCATGACACTGACGAGCGGACAGGTTGTCATAGTAGTGGTCCCAAGAGGCATGGAAACCTGAGTCAGTGGTGCTGACACCAGAGATGTCGTCTAAGGTCGCATACAGCGAGGTGGAAGCTGTCAAGTGGGCAGCCCAGGCAGCATTGCTTGAGGACTTGATGGAATTGAACAGATTGCTTCCGGCAGAGCAGGTATATTGCGGCTCCAGGCTGTCAACGCCAGCAGCTTCGATGATCAGGGGAATGGAGTCAATTGTATCCCACATGCCATTGATGACCATGCCAGCGACTTCGCTAGTGATGACGTTGTTAGTCACTCTGTAGGTGACCTTAGCTCTCCAGTCATCACTTTTGTCAGGGAGGAAGCCCAGGAGGTCGTGGTAGACTCCGTACAAGTCAGCACCGTGCTGCCAGGAGTCGTCCAGGCCAGGGGCCGTGATCTGGGGGAACTGGCAGGTGCCGATCCATCCGGATGGCACGAAGGGGTTCACGGGCGAGATGTAGCCCTGCCAGTAAGCAGCGGCTGCCTTCTTGCCAGAGCCATCAAAGGGCTGACCATAGTAGTAAAGACCCTCATCATTGCAGTCCCAGTGATACGGCTCCACCGGGAACGCATTAGATGCATACGGCGTGCGCTTGTGGTGACGATGAATCTACATTTAAATAAGCTTATGTTCACACTCACGGCACAATAATTTGCAATCATACCAGCTCCACATATGCCAATTCATAGTCGCTAGACGGTGTGACATACTCGGTCTTGCGAACATGGGGCATATTGCACCAGTTGTATGTGCCATACTCACTGGCAGGCGTGTCCGAAGTGTCGTAGATGAAGCCATAGACGCCCTCAGCAGTGACGACATTCGTCAGGTTGTTGATCAGCGTCGAAGCCGGTGCATACCAGCCCAGGTCCACGGATTGAGACATGGTCGTTGGCGAAGCGGGCACAAACTCTCGCAATAAGGATGCAGGACGCGACGAAGAGCACAGCGACGAGACCTCAATGCCCAATTGCAGCAACAGCAACGCGCCCAGGAGAATAATGAGTCGTCTAGCCCAGGACGATCCCAGAGCGGGAGGAGGGGAAGTCTTGGAGGAGCCCATCCATACTTATGTTGGTGATTGTTCTCCCACGTGGGAGTTGATGGAGGTCCAGAGTGTCGGGTTAAAATCACGCTGCGGCCTCGTTTAGGTGGGCGGCGCTAGGCTGTGTTGAGGATGACGTCCAAGGCTCAATTACAGGCTATGCAGGTTGTTCATTCCGAGTTACTGCTCTCTAACTCCAATGCAAGCTCAGAAAGGATGGGTTGCAACGGGAATGTTGCCAATGTCAAGGCTCTTCAATAGGAGGTCAATTAACACGTGCGGCAGGGAAGCCGCCTAGTGGCTAGCCGTTGGACGCCGACGGTAGCGTGGTCTGGGCAGGGGTCGGCGGATGGGTCTACCTAGGTATTATCAGATCTTGAACTTGCAATGATGTCAGGGCCCCCGGCCCACCAGATGCATCTCAAAGCAAACTCAATAGTCTGTGAAAGCGTGAAGTCTACAAGCTACTAAAAGGCAATAGAAACTCACACTAGACAATCACAGGAGCATTCATGAAGTGAAGTGGAGTGGTTATGTCTTCATTCGTCGCCTGTGGGCAACGGGCTGCGGTCTTCTCTTCATCCGGTCTAATCTCTGCGAACCTCTCCGGTTCCTCGAAGATGAACACGGACGCCCAGCCTTCCTCCAACGTATGATCTGACCCTCGTGCGAGGCACTTCTTGCGAGCATCTCGAAGTCAACCCGGCGGTACCTTATCTGCCACTGGAGCCACTGATCCAGCCCAGGCAAAGCCACTCCAAGCGTCGGCAGAGCCAGAAGCATCAGCTTCGCTTTCGGGCCTATCTCTTCATCCCATGCGCCATCTCTGATCCGCTTGATGATTTCCTTTTCCTTTGCCCTGGTCTTCTCCCACCGCGTTCCAGCTTCAGGAAGATTGGGATTCTCTCCATAGAGCGACCAGTCGATGTTACCAATGCCGTAGATCGCGGGGAGAGTGTAGCGGACTTTGCCTGGTGCATATCGCTTCAAGAGAGATGCGAGCGCATCCCGGGAGGCGTCATCGGCCAATGCCTCTCGAAAGGGCTTTGCGTGCTCCTTCATGAATGGCGCGACTCGAACACCGAAAGGAGCACGCAAATAGACCTTGATCCAGAAACGCCCATCAAACATTTTCCACGGTGACTTGGATGGCCAACTGAGGCGCTCCCCGTTGCGTCGTAGCCAGTGCTCGCGCAGTCTGTATTGTCTATGCTGGCATTGCGGAAGGGGTACGGTCGAGAGATACGGAGCTCGACTCAGGAACCAATTCAGTGATCTAGAAGATGATGTGTAAACAGGTAGAAAGTGCACGCCACAGATGTTGAAAGCCTTCTCGGATGAGTGAGACTCTCCGTTTCCGTCGTCCAAATGTGGGAAAAGACGGATGACGACTTGCTGGAGTTGAGCTGCTGGTGTAACCTGAAATTCAGGGGTAACGAAGCTGATCAGTCTTCGCACCAACCGGGCAGCCAGGGCCCTGTAGTGTTCGTTACGGATCTCGCGACGACTCTGATTGTAGATTGAGCCTTTTCGTAACCTAGGAACTCTAAACGTCGGCAATTGTACTAGCAGCGTTCCAATATTGGATTGAAAGTCTCGAATGATGGTACGTCCGAGCAACTTGTCGACTTCAGCATCAAGTGCGAAAGCTTTGTCATCGCACCTCTTCCTGAGCTGGAGAATTGATGGCTTCTGCAGCGCAACAGGCAGCTCGTGATTCTTGTAAAGATGCCTTACAGCATTGCGTACTGTCAATGTCCGATCGTGATTCGTAGCATCCTCAAACCACGGAACATCCGCCTCAAGGCATGTGGCAATCAGCCTATCTTTGCTAAACTCAAGAAGCGGGCGATAGACCATGACACCGCCGTCCTCAATATCCAGCGGTCCCAGCTGCGGCAGCCACCTCGTGCGTGGGGTTTGCTCGTCCAACTCATCATTCAGGTAGAGCCCCCCCTTTAGGCCTTGCTGGATCTCATGCATAGTCTCCGGGCCAACCTCAGCAGTCAGCTCCTCCCGGAGATACTGCTTCTCCTTCCGCGAAGGTCGCGAGTTGTAGTACGGGTGTGTCCTCTCCTGATCATCGATAAAGCCGCTGGCATACGTTCCATGCATGTTGTAACATTCCGGGATATCCGACGAGGCGCGTATCCCACGCAGTCCAGCTGGCCCGTGCCCGGCCAACAAGCGCATGAGGACAGTCTCATACTGGTCATCCTCGTGGTGCGCCAGGAGCAAGCTGGCCAACTTCCTAAAGTTGCACGCCCTTCCCAGCCGTCGGAACCGCAGCCGCCGAGCAACGCTCTCGAAGTTGGGCAGATCCTTAGGTGCCACGCCGTAGCCCAGCTCCTTCGACCACTGAATGCGAAGCAGCTCGGCTCGTATGCCCGTTTTGTCCTCCAGCACCTTCCTCACGGCGGCCGCCTCCTCCCAGCTGCCCTCGCGCATTCCGTGGTCGACAATCAGCGCCTGGAAGTGGTTGACCGGGTGGTCAGCGATCTTGAAGTCGTGCTCCGACCTGCGGGCCTGGCTGCACAGCAGCGCCAGGGCCATGGAGTCGACGCCGCCGCTGACGGCGAGGCCCACGGGCCGGCGGTTCTGCCCGCGCGTCAGCGGGAACCGCGGCGGGCATGTTGCGCGGACGGCCTCGATGAACTCGGCGACCGCGATCGGTTTGGCGGTCGGGTGGAAGACGCGCGGTATTGAGGTCATTCCTCCATTATCCGGTCACTTTGTCTGGTCGTCGAAACTGAGACAGCGGCGTGAAGTTGTAGAACCGGCATGCTCCACTGACAGAGCTGTAGTGCTGTAGTGCAGCCATACTGCAGGGAGCTTGGGCCACTGTTGCACTGCCTGCCGGAGCGCCGATCGGCTCGGTGCCAGCAAAATTTCCTGACGACACCGGGAGCTCCGATAACGCCTGTGAATGACACTTTCCCAAGCTTCACGTACACGCAACACACAAAACAGAGGCATGCGACAATTCCACATATAGGCTTCGGCCTTCATACACATCCCGTAACCCCGCCAATTTCCAGCTCAGAGCCTCAATCACATCATCCTCGAGCCACCCAAAGCGGCAAAGCCCCTCACAATGGCTTCCTCTCCTTCCACCAGCCCGACCTTCACCCACGCCCTCCTCGCAGGCGGCATCGCCGGCACGACCGTCGACCTGTCCCTCTTCCCGCTCGACACGCTCAAGACGCGCCTGCAGTCCGAGGCCGGCTTCTTCCCCAGCGGCGGCTTCCGCGGCATCTACCGCGGCATCGGCTCCGCGCTCGTCGGCTCCGCGCCCGGCGCCGCCTTCTTCTTCGTCACCTACGAGACGACAAAGTCCCTCCTCGCCAGCCGCCGCTCGCCGCTCGTCGCGCTCGACCCG